TGCTTTTCTTTATAAAAAGCTACAGAGCTTGATTATGTGCAAGAAATCTGCAAAGCCTATGGATCTGTCCAAGCTAAAGCCGCTGTACTGCTCTACTAGCAGTTTGCTCAACTCAGCTTGCCACCAAGCAAACATGTTTAAATCTCTTTTGTGGAATGGGGAAAAAGCGGTGGCAAGGATGTAAGAGAATCCAACACTTGAGTGGAAGCTCATCCTTTCACGCTAATTGTTAGCAGAGTGCTAAGAAACATTTTACATTATGGCAAGCTTTCACTGTTATTGCCACCTCTATGTAGCAGAAGCGTAGCCTGATCCAACTTTATATTCTGAACTGTAAATCAAGATAATCCTAAAGGAGGTTTTATTATTCTGTTTTAAACTAACTTACTTCTTTTCAGGAAACAAAAGAAGCTTACAAGACATTTAACCATCTCCAATCAGACAGTTCTCAGGCCTCTCTCAGAACAAAGCAATGTGAGCTTATTATGCAGTTTTTATGTAGTTCTGTTTGACTCCTTAGCCTCCCTGAAGCAGAAAGGTAGTTCTGCTGACTACAGTTCATGTTACTGCAGTCTTCCTTCCTTGGTAAAGCCTTAGAAAAGGAAGTTTCTCATGTTTCAAGGGCTATTATTAACATGAAGGTGTGTTACTTACTTTAACTTCCTGTAACTATATCTAAAATATGTTTACTTCCCCCCCCCCTCCTGCCAACCCCATTTGGTCAAACTAGGCCTTCATCTTTTCATTGAGACATTAGTATATTTTCTTACATTAGACAGTGACATCTTTTATTCATAATCCACCACATCTCCATCCCCCACCCCAACCTTCCCACACACAATCAAAAATGCTAATAAAAATATGACAGAATTGGAACATACTGAAAGCAAGAGCACTTTTCCAACAAACCAACATTTATGTTTCCTTTCATGCAAAGCTGGATGAAAGCGTGTTTGGTTACAGGCAGCAATAGCAGCAGCTGAAGTCCCCTCTCAAGCCCAAAAAATTTCTCCAGACAATATGCCTAAGGTTTTATTATTACAAGTACACCAGTCATCTTCAAAGTTTACTTTAAAACATTGCTAAGAGGATGCTAAACCAGACAATCCTATTCAGGGACAGTGAAGCAGAATAGTCACACTGAAAAAGTGGCTTTTATCCACAGAATTTAAAGACATGACTGAGAGGGGCTGTTGCAAACTTTTGAATGCTGCAACTATACAGAGGCCCAAGCAGCTCAGCAGTGCTCAAAAATGAAGAAGGTAGAGAAGACAACATGCAAGAGAATTTCTGTCTAGTCAGGTCCACATACCTACAGAAGTTCTCAGTGGGATTGAAGTAACTCAGCAAACACATACTCTTTTCCCAATACATGTTATTTTTCCTCTAAAAACTGCCCTCAGAAACAATAAAAAAATGTTTGAGTCCTTACTTACTCTGTTAGGAGGGGAAAACAGGATGAAGTAATAAATTTCTCTTCTTCCTCTTCCCCCTTTCCCCCCTCAATAGACCAATAAAACAATTAAAAAAGAAAACAAAACCTAAAACCCTATGTTTCCCAAGCACTCTTCTACAGGTCAGAAGAGAGACGGTGCAACCTGACATAAATCATATGAATTGCACTACGTGTGATTCAGGACTCTCACTGTTCCTATCAGAATAAGTCTGTCCCCAAATAATTCTTTATTGATGCTGTACGTAATTAATCCCGTAGATGAATATACAGCATTCTCCACTGATCCAAAATAGTGCACATAACCACAGCTGCTACCACCCAGAAGCAGAATACCTTGTAAGACATTACTGAGTCAGTCTTGATACCCTCTGCCTTTTTCTATTTATTGGGTCAAAACACTGATCTGAAGAAGGGTTTTATATAGCTTTTTAAAGTAACTTTTACTGTTTATCCTTGCTATACCTGAAGGCTAAAAAGTCACGAGAAATGATTAGTCTCCCATTATGTTGTTTGATATCAAACTGAAATTTATGAGAGGGAATTTGCTAGCTGAATTTTTCTGTGAAATCAGCATCAGTAAAATAATAGACCACTATATATACACACACAATTCTATGCTGATAATCAAACAGAACTTAATTCATTGGTCTTCTCCCAGCTGACATCAACTGGCAGAACTCAGTTCTCCCAAGCATGTAATTATACACTGCTAATGTTACAGAAGGGTATTCGATTCACTTCTACTGAAGTAAAGTATGTGGAATGATGCTTATCCAGCAACATGCCAAATCATATAGGTGTCCATCATATAGAAGGCCACATCTTTATCAACTTCTTTCCCACTTCCTGTCTCTCCCAGAAGGTTCTCTGCAGCTGAAGACTTCTCCATATCCTTCAGGGCATGCACATGCAAAGTTTAGTAAAATGGAATAAAACCAAGTGAACAAGAGAATTTAGAAGACAGGACTCATTTACTGAGCATGCTCAAATTAGCTATGCACCAAGGAGTGGATTATAAATTTGCACTAAACACTTATGCAACTATCTTCTACAGAAGCACAATGCCTTTATTGTTTGATAGCAACTCTAAGGGCAAGGATTCTGTGGTAACACTACATTAAATCTCCAAATTCTCCAGATGATTGTTTCCAGAAGAACAAATCTGAAACCTATGTAAGCCATATCTAAATGTGCACATAAATCTCATTTATAATCAACCAGTATGCTTAAAGAGGCTGCAAATAACAAAGGAATGTTCATATGGAAAAGAAGACTTAAGATAGGAGAACACTTGAAAATATGTTTAGTTAAATTTAAAAGAAATTAATTCTCATCTCTGAGGAGAAATCATGATTCAAATTCAGTACTCAAACCCATATCCTTTATGGAGTAAAGATAAGAAAATTAATAGATAAACTCAAGAAAAATAAATTTCTGCCAGCTACTCTGCTATTCTTGACTGCAAAGCAGACAAATGAAGTCCCATAGCATTTGTATGGCCAGCATCATTGAGAATGAAAGCAGTAATTGTTTCTAAAGTCTTTAGAACTATGACAACCTATTTTCTTCTTGAAAACACAAACACTTTTTTGGTACTTGCCTTTCGAGCAACCAGCTCATTCATGTGTATGTATGAATTTTCAATTAAAGGATGACTGGCAAGTAAAAACATCAGCAGTTGTATACATGTCTCAGATAGGCCTGACTTTCAACTGGAACAGGAAGTTTCATTCTTAGAAATTTAAGAATTGCAGATTAACAAGACACTACTACAACTAAGTTGTAGCCAAATCCATTTGTACTCTATATTATTTTTCATCTGGTGCATTTTTTTCCTTCTGAATATGAAACATGCTCAGTAATAGAAAGTTTCCAAGCAAACCCAAAGCTCTTGGTTATTACCCATCTTTTTGTTTTTGCCATGCCAAGCAGTCTTTCACCACACAGATGCAAGCCCCAGGCCAGCCCACGTGATAACAAAAGATAGTACCTGACCTGATGTTAGGTATATAGGGGATGCGTGTATTGCAAAGAGAAGCTAATACACCCTGGGATAGCGGAAACACACACTAGAATGGAAAGAAGTTCTGCTTGGGGATAGGGAGCCAGGATCCTCCTCCAGCAACTGCCTCACTGACTTCTGCCTCCTCATCTCTGTCCTACCCTCTGTTGTGGCTGTTGCCAAGGTGGGCTCCGGGAAGCCATGCTCAGGGGTCCTGCGCATCAGCACCTCCCCCTCTTGCTCACGTTTGATCCCTACGTCTGTGGAGCCGTGTTGGATCGGTGAGCCAGGTATGCTTGAGTCAGCCTCGTTTGAGAAGTCAAAGCCATCTGGGATTCAACATATAACATTTTAGTGCTTTTCTATTCCTGTCTTGGTGTTCCAACCCAGGCAGGGAAAATAGAAGATTTATGTGGACAAGGAACAAACAAAACACTATCCATGCTTAGTCAGAAGTTGTGAGAACACCCACAGAAAGGGACAGGTGGACTATACTGCAGACCAGAGACTACCAAATGAATATAATGATAACTACAGTGAAGACAAACATGACCCAGAGTTCTGAGAACAGAATACAGCTACTTGTGTCCTGTACATCGTGATTCAGCTGAAGACCTCAGGTCATCAAATCCTTTTGCATATGATACAGGGGAAAAAAAACAAACAAACAACACCCCAACAAACAAAAAGCAAGCCAAACAAAAACCAGAGTACCACAGGAAAACATGTAATCTTTATATGCAGACTTTACCCTCGGTTTATGTTTAGGTTATTCTACCTTTTACCTTCAGCCATTTATGCAGCTTTTTTTAATCAATGTTTTACAGATGCAGCAACAAAGCTTTATGACAAAATTATTTCAAAGTAAGCTTTTTGCTACACCTACACTGAAGATGGCATCGCATCAAGGTAAATATTGCTATGTATTTATTATTTTTCTTTATACAGTCAGGCATGCTTCGTATGACAAAGTACTCACTGAGGAAAATAAGGACTTATTCCAAGCTATCCATAGCTATTTTATATCATGGCTCCTCACTAAATTGGGCCACATAATGGTAGGATTGTGATGTTCAGCTTTTCCCTCCCCCACTGCCTTCAGCAGCTTTAGGTAGCTGGAACCCTATCAAGGTCTGGATAATACCATTCATTCCCTAAAGTATTTATAATGGGAGGCATTTGAGTTTTAGTGTGGATTAAGGAAAGAACTCAAAATTCTAAGCCAAACTCTAGCCTACAATTTTATGCCGTGTTACATGAAGAAAAAAAAGAAGCCTTATTGAACATTTTCCAGCTTCTCCATTTTCTCACCTACCTCATGCGTTATTGCCAAATCAATAAACAAAACAAACACCCCAGATGTTCATGTTCATGCAGTGCTCTGAAGATGTAAAATACTATACATCGTTATGGAGTATCACTTTTCAAAAACAAACAAAAAAAACCAACCAACTGTTCTGCAAACATCCAAAGAAGCCAAATTACAGTGATGATGATGGGTACAGTATGCTACAGTATTTGCTCTTGGCAGAGAGAGCTCACCTTCTCTTCTCCAGCGATGACGACGGATAGAAGCTGTTGTAATAGCAGTCCGAGAAATCCTCGGCACTGTTGGAGTAACTTCTACTTTCAGTACTTTCTGGCCTTCCTGAGATGCGTCAGGAGCATCAAAGGGCAGTGAGTTCTTCATGGCATTTGCAACCTAAGACAGAAGTAAAATGCTGCACTATTACTGTTCCTGATTGCACTAATGGCAATATTAGATTTCTTGTTGGATACTAAAAGGGGAACAACCAAGAATTGTTAATTATGCCAGATCCCCTCAGATGAATGGCCTCATCCCCAAGATTCAATCATAACGGATAATTACATTGAAAAGCTCACCATAAGCCTATTCCCAAAAATACAGCTGAATTTTCTTTGAGGTGATTTATTTCATTCCGCATTTGCCATCTGTGTTGACAGAAGTAACAATCTACTTAGGAGAGTCTCCATTCAAAAGAGACTGCAAAATGACAAGGAAAATAACATTTATGTTTTATGTCAGGAATATCATAAAATTAAGTCACAGGCCAAGCCAATGTAAACAACATATGGCCTTGTGTATGGCATGGGGACAGGGCATTTTCTGCTCCCCTTACACCATATTCCCCTGAAAAAAAAACTAAGCAAGGGGATTAGACTGCAGGTATATGCAAAATTCAAATAAATAAATAAGTAGATTTCAACCTAAGCAATGAGCATCAAATCATTAAAATACATTCAGCTCTATTAGATCAAATTCTTAGGCTATTATAACGTCAGAAGTTTTGTTTTGCAGCTTTGAGGAGGACAAATGACTCTTTTGGCTCTCATGTTTTAACTACTTTAAATCTTCCATAAAATGCCAGTGTGGGATTAAAATTTTTCTCTAAGAAAATGAAAAAGCAACTTTAAGTTTCCTCATTTACAAGTAAATTGTTCCAAAAAGTGAACTTATGCACCAGCTCTTGAAAAGCAAGCCAGGTCTCTATGGCATGTGCAGTATTCAACAATAATGAAGTTGCTGCAGACAAAGTAGGATTTAGAACCTAAAAAAAAGTGAAAACACCTTGTTTTTCCAAAATCTTATTGACTTTATACATCCAAGCAGCAATAAAAGTATTAGACACATTTTAAACTTAACATCACATTAACATCATTCATAGATCTCATATGTTTCACAGACATCTGACTTCCTATATGCTCTTTACTCCCCATGTAATGAAGACAGCATATAAAATAAGAGTGTCTGAAACATCTAGACTAAAAATAAAACAACTATGGAAAATGTAACTTGCTAATCTCTATAAAATCCTACCTAGCAACAGCTTCCACTGTAATTTGGGCAGGCTATTCTCTCCACTACAGCTTACAAGCAGTATGAAAAGCAACTTTATGTTGCCTCCTAATAGATTTTCTCTTGTATCACCCCAAAAAAAGAAAACAATTGATTTTGCAACTTGAGAAAACAGAGTTCACTATATGGCAAGAAAAACACATTTATTTAAATACATCTGGTCTACATGTCTTAAATCTGTGTAGTCTACTTACTAGCTCAAGGCATGTAAGCCGTATTTTAAGATGCAGATAAAACTATAAATTTGACTGCTTTGTCAACGTAAATGAGATACAATCTCCTTTAGAAAACACATCTTTGCAAAATACTCCATTTTTCTGACAATGCATGCATACATTTTTCTTCCTTTTAGACTATGTTCTTTTTCTTAGAACAGACATTTTTTTGTTTAAAAATTTGTGGGTAGCCGATGAAGTATTATCCACTGTTTATTACAACTAGGCATTTCCTAGTTTTACGCTGTAAGCAACATTTGCATGTGTTTGCGTCAACCCAGTAACAGAATTAATGCACTTTTAAACATCATCACTGTTTTGCTGATATTCTGAGGCTGCCGATGCCTTGGAAACGTTAAGGACATCCAACAAATTCCTTGAACTCCCAAAGCATACATATACCAAATCTGATTAACTAAATAAGTCATTTTTCATTAGCATTCGCACAAACTGAGAAATGTACTAAACCACTAGAACAGACCCTATTGGCAGAAATTTGTGTTGTGAAGATCTCTGATAACATTTGATAAAAACACTGTACCAATGCATACGGCACGCATGCCATAAATTAAAGATGTTTATTCACATTATAACAAAGTAAAAGTGGCTTTCCTACGAGTCGCAAAAGGCAAACCACTCATCAACCATGAGAAGAAATTAAACCGTGTCAAATAGCAAAACCACACACTGCACAATATTAACTAAATCAAAGACTTTTCACTTCCTGCGAGCTGGAATGGCAGCTATATATCTGATTTTGATCTCCAGATGCTGTTGTGATGCTGTAACTAACCATTAAACATCTCCTCCACTGCCTTCCTGTCTGACTTCTAACCAGCACAAAAGATTACTGCCATCATCACAGAAATGCTCCTTATCATTCTGCCTTCCACTTGTCCAACACTAATTTGCCCTTTGCTAGCCGATTTTCTCAGCCTCGACATCTGTTTGTGAACTGCTCTTCTATTCACACATAGGCCTTTTTCCATGCCATCCTCTTGAACTGGTACAAACTGCATTCATCCTATCCTAGACCACATTAAAGACTTCAGAAAGTCATTTCTGCTTTACTGAACCACAACAGATTAACAGTATACACTGATTTGCCTTCCCATCTTCTACTTGCTAAAGTTACACCTTCTTTTCAACAGGTAACCTTCTCAATAGGCAGAATTAAAATCTACAAGTTAGCAGCAAAAAGCTTCTGCAACAGGATCAGAAAAGTGACAGTACTTCTGCTTGTTGAATCTTTTACAAATTGTACTTCTGGGGACTGAGGAGAACCCTATAGAAATAAAAATCAGCACAACAGAAGAACAATCTAAACCAGTTTGAATGAGTCATGCCTCTTCTCTGACAGAAAAAAAACAAGACTGTTTTCCTTCAGGACGTGGTAACAACTTTCTCACTATGTCTAATCCAGCACTGAAAGGTAGGAAAACAAACACCACAATTCAGACTTGGCAAGCCAAGTCTGCAAGTACTGATGACAAAAGAGGGCTGGTTTCAGGCCAGACATCCACTCTTGCCTATCAGAAAGGAGCTCTAATGAAAACCACATCCAACAAAAGCAGTAAGTACCTCAATAAAATACACTAGATAAAGGTTCTGTCACAACAGGGACTTGCTCACCATGCTTCATGTGTACCAAGCTAAGAAAACCTGTGTGCCTCTGCACTGAAGATGGAGATTTCTATCTGAAACAAGTGCAGAAATCTTGCTTTCAGAGGAAAAGATTGACTGGAACTGAGCTAGTCCCCAGGTCCAAACGAGCTTAGTTGTACTATTGAGTATTGGTGATTAGGATGCCTAACAACTATGAAACCAATAACCAGTGATGATTAACAGCAATACAAGGGAAAGGCTTTTTCTTGGGAAAAGCATTACTTCCTGCCCTTTCTAGTGCACCTCTGGGTAACAGTGAAAGAAGACCACTCTTACATTATAGCTTTTTAACTCCATTACAGATATTTCATAGCTTTCTGATGCTATTTCAGCACCTGTTCCATTTTTTGGTTTTGTTTTGTTTTTTGTTTTTATAATTCCACAAGCCTAAAACTATTTAAATAAAGAGTACAGATACAGTATATTGTCAAAAATCTTTATCCAAGAGACATACCCAAACACAGAGGCTGTGACAGTTCTCAATGCAATAATGACTAATGGTATTCCCATTTATTGTATATAATTACATAACAGCTTCAGCATAGATACCTAAAAATAATCCTAACAGGTATTTGCCTGAATATTAAATGGACTTCAAAGAATTTGCTGCTGTTAGGAAATCCTAGGCAGAGGCTGAACTGGAAACTTAGCTGGGAAGCTGCACAGATAATATTCTATTTGGTGCCCATAGTTCTATATTTAATATACAGAATTTTATAATGCTGCTAATTTTACACATCTCCTGGAGAATGCAGTGAGGTGAAAGGACTCCAACATTTTAAAATGTCAAATCCCTTGAATATATAGCATGAGGCCAAGGTCATGCAGGTCACTTTTTTATAAAACTGCCAATTTCTTAAAGCTGCTTTTAAAAAATTACAATAAACAAGATAGGAAGCAACGCAGTGATGAGAGTATTAAGAAGAAAACCCTACATTTGTGCATGCACATGGATGCATGAAAAACCTGGTAACTGGGGAAGGGGGAAAAATTGATGTCATGACATCAGCAACACCAGGTAATGGGATAGAGAGGCAATAGCTTTGGAAAAGCTTAAAGACATTCTAAAAGATTCTTACAATTAGAAGTAATCTCTAAGAACAAACCGCTTAGGAAGGAACAATGAGGTCTGAAAATTGTCGTATCATCAAGTTCCAGACCCTCCTACACACCTTTTAAAGGTAGTAGTTCGATTGGGTGGCCCAATTCAGCAGGTTCAGTATTTAAATTAAAGCTTTCAGTCTGATGGAGCGATGAGTCATTTCCAAAAGGAACCAACTATTGTAATAATTCAATGGATACCAAGCATTTAAAATGCAGCAGTGTCAGAAAGCCTGTAGGTACATTTTACAGCCAATATTAACTCATCAAGAGAATAATTTTATGCAATTTATTGCAGAAGAGAAGTATCTCAGATGGCCACATAAAAAGACTTTTCCCAATCCACTCCTTTCTTAGTTATGTAAAAGCAGTAAAATTTTACTGCTGTTATTTCAGAGGAGCACTAAAGTCTTCCAACCACAATTCTGATGCAGCAACTGAGACAATACTCTATTTTACTTTATTCTGCTTAACTTTCCCTCTTATTTTGATCCTCATTTCTACACCTGACAAAAACCAAAATATCTCAATTCCTCCTGTCAACCTTCTCATCCTTCCAAATCACATTCACCTGCATCCAGCCCAGTTTCACCTCTTTCCCCATTTCATTTCTTTTTATGATCAGAATAGCAAGTATAGTGGAAACTGACAAAACCCCAATCAATCAGATGAACTCCATTCTATTTCTGCTCCTCCAAAGAAGGTAAAGATTAAGACCTATCCTGCTTTTGTTTTTTTTTACTGTATTACTAGTTAACCCACACAGCATATTCTCAGCCCCTGGTGAAGGTCCAGAAGCAAAGGAAACACCTTTTTTGTAACCAGTGTCCTATGACATATAACCATTTGGTTAAGCTTCTTCGAGTTTCTAATTGGTAACTTATGCCAAAACAACATACATTTTGATCCCACTGTAATACATTAGAAAATCCTAGCTTTCAGCATCAGTGAGTCCTAGGAGATCCCAACACCCTAGCTTATTACTCAAGCAGAAAAATCATGGTATAAATAGCTACATTGAAAACACCAGCTGTTAACAACCACTTGTATTTGGGACTGCAGTAAATGCCCACAAATGCTTTCATTACCAATCCACTTCAGAAACACATCCTTATTCCCCTTTATCGTGGCCATAAATTGAAATGCATTGTTTCTTACCAGCAGAGGCTGTGAGTAGAGTTCAAGCTGTGCTCTGTAAATTATGTCCTCCAGTACCTCCTGGCCAAGATCCCACTGACCATTATATCTAAAATGTAAAGAAAGCTATTTATCTTATGAACTCAAACTTGTCTTTTTTCTGCCAAAATGCAGCACTTCAATTATTTGCTTATGTAGAAAGCTCACCGACTGTACGTATACCTCAACCCCTGCACTTCTTTTAAAAGGATAGACAAAACATTTTTTATTAATTTTGTTGGTACAACAAAAAAGCTGTTGTTCCCTGTCACCTCCAAGCAAGACCAAGCTGGACATAATCAGGACAAACTTAAAGAATTAAAAAAAAAAAAAAATTATAGGATCAAGATGTGAAGGTTAATGCTACTTAGCAGAACTGATTTTCCACCAGAAATGGATTTTGCTACCTTAGAAACTACTGACATTCAAGAGGTCTGCACTTCATCAGGTTATCTTGGCATCCAAGTTCATTACACTTGTGAACAGAAGGTGTCTGGTAGTAATAGAAATTTGTGAAAAGATGAAGCCAGAAGCCTAACTCTCTTCAGCACCTACTGCTGGCCCGCACCACCTAATTCAGTGCTGGCAGACATGTTCAAATTATCAGCTGAGTAAGCAAGTAATGCGAAATATATTAACTGAGTTATAAACTTGCACCATGAGTTTAACCATTTTTTTCCAATCATAAACCAAATAGCTTTTAACTTTTAATTCATATGAAACCAGACATTTCTCTTTATACAAAACCCCCATCCACTTACATGGCATAATAAACACCTGTGAGCAGCTGCACCATGAAGTCAGGGTCTAACACCACTCTACTACAGTGTTCTTTCCAGCATTTCTCATGCTGCCGTGGAAATCCACTCACACACAGCCTGAAAAAACACACCATTGTAACAAAATGTTAACCCCACAAAGACTACAAATGTCCACATCACAGAGATTTTAGTTTATTTTTCAAAATTCATTTTTCAAAATGTAACTGCACAACACGGAACATTCCTACATTGCTCTCCCAACAATTAAAGCAGTTTTGTAACAGTGCCTTGAGATCTAGTGTGCTGGTAATTCAGTGTTACTCCCATCTAGCCACTAACTCCATTTTCTTCAAATCATACCAGCTTCTAAGGAATGAGGGTGGAAAGATGCCAGGCACCAAGTAGGAGACTCTCCCAAAAATTCAGTAACCAAACCCAACTTTCTTTAAAGGAAAGATTTCAGTGGTACAGAAGAGAAGTATGTCACCTCCCATCTAAATTGTGATGCCAATACGCAATCACCTGTTACCTAAACTTGGGTAACACAGATACTGTATTCTTGATACTGCACTGAGAACTGCCCTCAGCTGCCTTCTAAAAAACTTCTGACTCTTGAAAAAAGGCCTGCCTTCCCATATACTGCACAGCACTGAGTCTCTGTAAAAAAACAGAATAATTTATTCATAACTTTAATATCTGAATCTTCAAAGAAGCAACACATGCCAACTAATATATAATAACTGCTGCACTGCTTCAGAAACAGTAACAAAAAAATCCCAAGCCTATAAAATGTTGTCTCTCTTCTCTACCCAAGGAGGGGACCTAATTTTCAGATGCAGGAAAATTCAACATATTTGGCAAATTTAGCGTAGCCTGAACTCAAAATGATGGAAGCATACCAAAAATTCACCGGAAAGAAAACAGACTATAATCTTAACTGGATGTGTGTGTTACTACAGAATGTACGTTGTTAGAAACTAGTCTGATCCTTCTTGATAAAAAAACCCAACTGCATGTAATGCTTTTCTTTCATGGCAGTACTATGCTGAAACAAACAAGCTAAATCAAAAAACATTTCAAGAGATTCTTCTGTTTAGGGGTAGCAGGAGAGAGAATTTATCTAATTTTAGTAAAAAATGCTGGTAAAAACAGGCACATGAGAATATCAGATATAACTGAGCTTTTTTCAGAACAAAAAGCAGGTATCTTTGCCAACCAGATGCTTCTAAGACTATTCAAGTAGAAGGTTATATAAAGGGCATGTATAAGAGTTTGAGAAATCACAGAACTGAATTCTCTAGGAAGTGGAATGTTGTTATCAGATAAAAAGAAAAAAAAAGGAAAAAAGTAAAACCACCACACACAAAACCCCAAACAGACCACTAAAACCCAGAACACCATACAGGCATTCTGTATAAACCATCCTCAGAAGCAAGAAACTAGTATTTGGGAAACAATATAAGAAACTGGTGGTATTCCTCACAGTGTTTTTAAGCTGATCATACTGAAAAATGGTTGAAAGCTATGTAAACCCAAAAAATGAAAACAGCCTGAGTTGCTTCAAATAATTTTCCCCAAACCTGCCTTTTTTTCCTTTACAAATAACAAAGTTACATAACTAGAATGTAAGCCCATGCAGCAGTAAGATGCTCCATATGTTTTATCTGTAGGCAAATGCCTACAAATTTATTGTTAAGTTGCAAGACTGACCAAGAGTTAAATATTTTACATTACTAAATGCAACAAAAATTAACTCTTTTTTTGCTGGATGAATATTTAGAAGTCTAGATGAACCCTGCAAACAACTATTTCAAAGGCAAGTGTCTCACCTGGAACCCATCCTACAGAGCGACTGGTAAGAAGAGGCAGGCATATATACAATAGCAGAATTGTAGCACAGCATAAGAAAGCTCAGCACCTCAAACCTGAAAAGAGACAAGAGCAAAACCTTGCATGGTTTAAATTCTTAATACTTCATCAGAATATAACACAAAAATTGTACAACTTGGTCTCAAAAAAATATCCCACAGGAAAAAGTGTCAGGGGTAAACAAGCTGAACAAGTCTGCAATGCATTCAAAATTATTTTATTAGTTTCCCCACAGCTGGCTTTAGACAAAGGCAGTCATACAACAGCAGGGCAATTTTTCTCATCCCTAGTTCTATCTATCCACTTCGCTCCATCCCCCTTTTCCTGTGGAAAAAGCAATCACAGCCTCAGAGCCAAAGCTGAATTTTGTTATACTTCCAGGAAAATTTGAGTTTGCAGACATAAAGCAAAGATATTCCTGGCAGATGCAGAAATAACAGGGAAGTTACTCTCTTCTAAATTAACTAGTAGAAAAACATAGAAAGTTGGAATAAACAATAAAAATACTGTACCTCAAGATTACTAGGACTGTTCCTAGATTTATTTCCAAGCACTTAATGCTGAGAAAAGGACTGAGCAGATAATACATTTGGTCTTCATGTTTAAGGACTTGTCTGCCTAGTGAAGGACCTCTACTGTCAGAACACACCCACCTACCGATTCTGTGCTGTGAAGGTTTCTCTTTGAGGATGAAGATCACTGTAAACTACCCTGATGAGATCATGCTGACATAGAGCTCCTTCAGTTAAAGCCATGGATCCAATAGTAGAGGGCTAGTAGTAGGTGAAGGGAGAAGGATTGGGAGAAGGGAGAAATCAAGTCGTAAGTAAAAGGCCCCCAAAAGCATTAAACCTTCTAAATACCCAAGCCAAAAGACTCATTTGTCTTGTGACCTTTAAAAATGAAGATTATTCCAGAATACAGTGTATCTAAAAACATTACCTGATTTCATTATTATAAACAGCTTCCATGCTTACAGCAATAGAGCAGGTGAGAGCAATTTTCAACTTTGATTCACATATCCATTTACAGTAAATTTATCATAATTGCATAGACTTCTCATATAGCAACAGTAGAGAAAGGAAAAACATGACTCCAAGTTCAAACTTGTATTAAGGAGTTAGAAGAAGGAAGACTACTTTTATACTAACACATAAGAGGCAAAAAAATAGTCGCAACTAAACACAACTAAAATCTGTTCAAAATGGGCACTATCAACAGAGATTCTTCAACATTTACATTTTCTTCTAATGCTACTGAATTAGATTACACTAATTGCAAGCTACTGACATTGAAAACTTACTGCAACAAGATGCATCTAAAAAGGTCTGCTGCATCAAATGGATCCAGTTTTCATTCCTCTAATAGATCCAATTCTAATTTACTACAGCAGCTCTCTTACCTCATGATATATTGAAGGTTTAGATAATGAAGGGATGGTGAAAGATAAAACTTTGTTGTTTCCATCTTTGTCAGCAATTTCCTGCATTAAAAAAGAAACAAAACCAAAAGCCAAACAGATGTAAGGAGATAGGAATTGGAATAATTTTCAACTCTTAGAAGGCATTTAGCAAGTAAGATAGGTGTAGTGATGTAGTAAGACTTAATACACACCCCAAGGTCTATGAACACTTGCAGAATACAAACGAATTTACATATAGCTTTTGTAAGTGAGAAAGACCTATATCACAGACTGTTTTGAAGAATCAGCCTGCAACACCTAGTAAAACCAGCACTGCTCTTTGACCAGCGTGACTTTATCAAAACCAAAAAAGAATAAAAAGGTTTTCTAGATCACCTTTACATTATTATATTTATTTATACTAGAATTGGATAGTAGAGCAAGGATAAACTTTAAGCCCAATGGATACAGGCAAATGAGGGCTGATGAATCACTTGCTGACAATGGGAGTACCTCATAATAAATGCGTCACAGACAGAAGGTGACATCAAGGGGACTGGCAAAGTTTCTTCAGGCATTCTGTCCGTAAGAAACACACAGAATGTTTTCTCAAAAGGCTTTCAAAACTGGTCAGATTTTCTAGTTGCTAGGCTACTTGATAAGCAAACACAGCAGTTTTTAAAGCAAACATACTAAGAGCAATTATATAAGACTATACCAAAATGGAGTCTAAAATCCTGCCTTTTCACTTTGTACAGCAAATTTCCAAACAATGAGCTGTAGTCATTCCAGTTTATGTGAAAACTTAGTCCAAGGTAGCACAGTACTTGCAGCAGGCTTTAAGGATCAGAATGGGAGGACAGTTGATAGAATTCAGCAGAACCTGAAAGATTTATCCTTGTCTTCCGCTTTCTAAGAAAATAAACTTCCCTCTTTCAGTCTCAGTGTACGTGCAGAAAAATAGCAACAACTTCAGAGGAAAAAAAAATAAATAAATAATCAAAACAGTGCGAGCCACTGCTGATTTTGAAGTCTTTTTCTTCCTGAATCTCAAGAGAATCAAGAAATCACTGTCTTTCAAAAAGAATATGAATCACCAACAGGACTTTTATAGGAACTGCAAAAGGACCTTTTCTCAAACGGCTAACAAAGACAAACGTGCTACTTCAACCCAGCAAACAGTGCTAAAAAAGCAGCAAGCAGTTTCAGTATTTTTTTCTAGCTGAATAAATCTAAGTTAACTGGATCTTCCAGTTAGAACTGATCTACAGACACATTAAAATATTGTTAAGAATCACAGTTTGACTGTTCTGTGTCTCATGGTACGTAGAAACATAAAACACAGTTTAAAGGAGGGGTTTACTAGGAGTGCCCTAGGGAGTAAACCCTTCCTAGTAGAGGGAAGAGCGATGTTTCAGCACAATATGTTTTTAAGTCCTGGAACACAGAAATTCCCATTAGAGAATGGCTATCTTGGCAGTATTCCTAAATTTATCTAACAGCCTCATAACATTATAACAATTAACATTTCCAAGCTAAGGTAAGGATATAAAAAATTACTTTACATTTAACAGCCAAATGTTATCACCTACAGTTGTGAGGATGGAGGCACGAACCCAGAGGTACATTAATTGCCAGCTGTAGTTTCTCCTTCCCATGATCTCTGACAGTTTGGATACATTCCACCCCCACATACAGTTACATTAACTTATTCTTAAAATAACTTACTTGTTCCACTCAAGACAACTATTTACCTCAAATGTACACAGACATGTACCTAAGCACTAGCATGCACAGTAGTTTCAGCTTCAAATTACGCTTAAAAAAACATACTCAGAGTTAAGAGGGGGGATGGAGGGAAGTGGCACATGAAGATTGACCAAGCATATTGGCCTGATAATCATCTCCATAGAAAGTTGTATTTTTCCACATTAAGGAGGGCTACTTGATTTCCTTACAAACAGAAGTATAAGACAGATCAATAAAGCCCGATAAAGATGATCCTTTTTAGTTAAAATGTCTGCACCCAAAAGATTACCATAAAAATAATAAAAACCCTTGCAAACATGTTCTTACTAAACCTTCATTACACTGTGCTTTTCTGCAGATTAAACATGCTTTCACATAAGCGTATTATAATTTCAAATATATTGTTTCACTAATTTACTTTATTCCTAGTGGTCAGTGACACAAAATCTCAGATCAATGTTTGCCTCATGCATTCCCACTCATCTCACTTACCAAGTTGTAAATGCCAAGCAGCAGTGCTTCAATGCAACCATTACTCTGCCTATCCCTGCTGGCAGTAAGACGCAGATATACCCAGATCAATTCTGGCAAGAACTGCAGTGTGAATCTCTTGAGCCGAACTTCAGAACTACGGTACAGTTCAAACAGCTGGTGACAAACAGGCTCCAGGAGCTGTGGAAAGGCAAAAAGGCTAATGACTTTACTGTTAGGCTTCTCTAACAAGGGAGAATGAAACAGAAAATATAGGGGCTATATCATATAGCTACTGCAGCCAGTAAAAAAGATGCTCCTTGATAACAAGTGAATGAACCAAAATGATATCTGCATTCCTTTAAAGAAAATCTGTAAGGACAGACCCAAGGTGCACTGGTATGCAGTACTGGGAAATGTGGTCTTACTACAAACACTACAATCTTGTACTTTGAGAACATCATTCCTCAGTATGAGACTTATTTTGCATACATGTACTAATTTAAGACATGTGACAGACACGCAGCTTGAACTACGTGCACCACAAAACTTTTATGGTGCTGTTATAATGTTTCTAGAAGTACAAAGGTTAAAGATCAGCTGGTTTTAGTACAAGAATCAAATAAGGCCATTATTGAGTCAGTATGATATAAGCACAAGAAAATCCCTGCTATTTTAAGAGTCTATAATGACAAACTATTAGTTAAGCATCCATAAAACGTAAAGGGGGGGGGTGGCGACTGAGGGAATTCAGCATCCAGAAAGATGGGGGCATCCATGTAACCTAAAGCATCTATGTTAATATAGAAGAATTACATAGAAAATAGAGGCCAGAATCTCAACTAAGTGTTCTGTTCTTTATAACTATATATGCTTTATGCAGCTCTCATATACATATACAGAACCATAGAATAGTTAGGGTTGGAAAGGACCTCAAGATCATCTAGTTCCAAACCCTTCTTCCACAGGCAGGGACACCACACACTAGACCGTGTCACCCAAGACTCCATCCAACGTGGCCTTCAACACCGCCAGGGATGGAGTATTTATCACTTCTTTGGGCAACCTGTTCCAGTGCCTTACCATGTTAATATTAAAATTAAATTACATATATCATTTTTAGAGCAATGCTCTTTCCATAATTTGTCTATTCATCAAAATTTTAGTAACCAGAATTTCCTGTAGATTCCACTGTCACTCTTCTGTTATGCTGTATGAAGATGTACTTCTGCAGTTTGTTGTGAACCATCCATCCCCTCAGAAAAAAACACTTTGAAGAAGTCCCTTGCTATCAGCAGAGGGACAGACTTTTTTTACAGATGATTAGTTTCAATGTTTGGTATACATGCAATGCCGTAAATCTGTATGACTGTGCAACTTCACATACACGTATGTAGACTTACATGTTACTCTCGCATATTAAACATACAGAACATCAATCTGACAGATTTTTCTATCAAAATAGCCGCCTTAACAGGGCATCACCCAGGAAAGGGTGACTGCATTAGGTCTGTTTCTAACACAGTATTCTTGTCAGTGAAGCATGCCATTTTAAACCACTGATTACATAAGCCATAACATGACATCTAGAATAAAACTTTGCTCTCAGACAGATCTCCTATTATACAAGGCTCAGGGTATAAGTACCTTGTGTAACAAGGCTTCTGATTAACAGCCTAGTTACTCTTAGCTAGAAGCCTGCTTTTACAACTGAAGCAATGGGAGACTCACACATGAGAGGGAAGGAAGAAAGGTGATACTGACAGTGTTGATACAGAATGAGAGAAGTCCAGTCATCTGAAGCACAAAATTTTTTACAAGCCATATATATAAAATACCTTTCCACTTAATTTTTGTTTTGGGATCTACACTAAATTAGAAGCCCATAATTTTTTTATTGCAATCATTTTAGTAAAATGATGCTAGGGTTTTCTCTATCAAGTAGAGTGTGTATTTCATACCTACATAGCACTTTCCATTCAAGAGATGCATAAGTATATTCTTTCTTAATATTTACTTAGTAGAAATTCCTATCTAGAAGTGACACTATTAAAACTGTTATAGTAAATGTTCAAATCCTCAGAGACAGAACTCTATCTTTCCTTTATGAAAGGCCCAGCACATTTTAGATGTTCAAATAAAAATAAAAATAAAATGGTTAATGAATAATTCAGAGATCACTGAATGCATTTGTAGGTTTTCTTTTAAAGAAAATAAAAGCAAGAAGCTAGTTTAAAGAAGTAGAAACCTATGGAAATAACAGATACAAAAATATTTGCAAAGAGATAACAGGTGCAAGAAAAGCTAAACAAATATTACCAGAAACCAGACATATACAGCAGCATTGCTATAAATGGTGCTTCTATTAGATTAGAGATGACAGCAGCCCAAAGCTGTTTCCTTTTGAAGTTAGCCATTAAAAACAGCGGAAGAGAATAATTTAATTTTTGCTAAAGTCAGATGAGACTCAACCAGAGCAGTTACTGAGTTTATTCTACATTCTTTCAAACAAATATTTTATAATTTTTTTTCAATAAAAATAGCGAAACCATACTCCCTAGAAAGATACCAGCAATATCCAGTCACTGGTGCTGCAAGCATGTAAATACTCCTCATTTCTCACAGTAATCATTTTAGTTGTGCAGAAGGTTTAACAACTGAAAATTACTTAGATGAAAACCTGAAAGTTGTCTGTAGCAACTACTATAGCACTTTTGGTACATTCAGAGCTTTAAGTCCACAAGAAAAAGCTGCCATCCTAAAAAAAATGCTACAATGGAAAAGGCACAAACACCCAAGTTTATCTTGTCAAATTATAGTATGATCATCTCCCACCTGGAAACACAAAACTTGACACTGTAAGAAAGAACAAATATTTTCCTTGCATCCTAGTTACCTGGCTTTTCAGAGAACCAGCCTCTTCCAATTAATTTTCTCTGAATATAAATACTGAGAAGACACTGGATAAACAGAGGAAACAGAGCTTCTGTCACCAGTATTGGGTGTATACATGAACTAGCACATGCTTTTTTAACCAAGGAGATCTTTCAGTCCAAAGTCAAAGGAAACCGAGTAGTAACACAGCAGTCAGCCAAAGAATCCCAAGTAAAATGTCTCTTATAACCGTACACCTGATGAATAGCTTTAGTTTGGTTTAATTTGCAAGTTTGCCATATTTTAAGAGCCATCTCTTGAAGTTAAATATGATGTATTATAAAATTTACAACAAAGATTTGAAACGCTTGCCTTTCTGATGAATTCAATAGTGGTAGAAAATAATGTGCTCATTTTAGGCGTAACTAAAACATAATGGGTGAAATTAGTTATTTGAAGAGTCAGGGAAGTGCTTGGCATTGCAAAAGTGATCCCATTTTGTTTCAAGACTAAGTTTTCCTGGTTAAATTTAAATAGCCCCACATGAATATTAAATGCTTAAATTACAGTACTTTATTAACTTAAAATCCACACAGCATTTAGGTCTACAATAATAAAGCAACTCCAAAAATTTAAAATATCTGAAAAAAAGCCAACAACCCAATACTTCAACAGTACTTTACTTTAAAATTCAAATGTTATGCAAAAATCAATACATTATTCAGTTAAATAAGCTGTTTATGAGCAAGATCACGCTCTACTCTTTATGTAACTTTCTGTTTCAGTCAGTATCTTCTCCATATTCAAGAAAGTCAGGGAATTTCCTAAAATGTTAACTGTAACAACTGTACTGAACCTGACAGTATGCTTGCTTCCATTTGATAGCTCTCAAACTGGTAGACAGCTGTCAAAAAAGACAAAAACCTTGGTCACATGTTTTGGTTCCTAGAGCATTCTGGTTCCATGTTAAATTAATACTACTAGTCCTAAAACAAAATTGGGTGACTGCAGAAAAACTCATGTTTGCCATAAACAATTTGCCCCTTCCAGAAAATTTAAAAAATGGGTCCTTTATGATTAAGCTGTACTGAAGAAATTCCTTGTCCAACAAGTTTAAGAATCCAGCAAGTACATTTTTAGCATAGTCTACCCATAAGCTTAATGTTCATAAGTAATCAGTTATCCTTCTAACAAAATGCCCTATAAAGTGTATTTTTAAAAAATCCCTCACTTAAAGCCAAGTATCGCCACAGAATTATGCAAAATAGTGAGTTTATTGTTGTTATACTCCTTGTACGCAAATAAATTTGGAAGAGGTGCAACAAAGAAATAATTCCTTAACAAGCAGAACCTGAAATTTATCACCTGTGAGTCTGGGATTGCTTATCTTACACCTGGTATCAGAACCAGGCCCAAACAACAACAGCAGGTCCAAAGAGCAATACATGACAAGCAGCATGCAATACCCTGAGGCTACTGTTCCACCCTCAAGAAGATACTCTTTTTGCAAATCTGGGTCGGGCTTTTTTTCCATCATTAAAAAAAACTACTCCAATGCTTATTCTCAAAGCAAATGAAAGCTTTTACATTTTCAGAAGTATACACACACAATTATACATATACACACCAAAAGACAACAGGAACAATGGTGGCTTCAGGTTGGAAAGAGAATTCTTCAATACCAAGAAAAAGGTCACAATGCAAGTAATTTGTACCACTGAAATCAAGTTGACAGCTATGAAGCTTGCTGGTTTGTTTTTCTGTATCGCATAAGCATTATGCAATCTCCTTTAAGCTCAATCAAGCATTCAGCTTCCAGAAGCAGCCAAACTGTGCTTAGAAGAATAAAGAACTTCCTTACTATGTACACTTGCCATTTAATTTATAAATATACAGGAGATCACAGATGATAAATAAAATGTTTTGAAGCATTTTATCTGAAGCAGAGAACAGCACACTTGCACAATTTTTTCAGAAGTTGTATTTCACACAATTTCCCAGAAATGCTCATAGCAGAAACCAATGGAACAGAAAGCTCAGTTTAATGCCATTTGCAAAATGAATTACATACAAGGGTAAGCTAAATTTTCATTGTGTATATTTATATTTTGGGTCCCAGTTCTGCTCTTGTTTACAGCAGTGTAAAACCAAATTACACAAACATGATACTATGATAAGCAAAAGATGATCTGGTTATTTTAATAGGATTTGATAAATTCATTCCATCTTCCACTGTAATAAGCCAGCAGGTGAAAGCACACTGATCTTACTGAGTTTCACTGTAAGGCCTAGTTTTCTCTGTTATGACTGAAAGGCATTTTATGGGAGAAAAAAATAAACCTCACAGTGTAACAGTCAGCTGTGCAAGTAAAAACTAGCAGACAGCATAAACTGTATTTCTGGGAGCAGATGAGGGTCTGTTTTACCAGAAAGTCATTAAAGTAACTGTCAAAAAAACAAGAAAGTAAAAAGAGGAGCAATACCTGTGTTAAACTATATTAGGAAGAATTGAAGTATCTTATTCTTTATCTCCATTTCTCAATTACTTTAATTTTAGTTTCAGAGGTAAAGATATAAGTATGTGAACAAAAAATGTTTTTTTAATGTCTCATACCTCATTATTTGGGTCTTGAATGACCTTATAAAGAGCTGGTACCAGTGTTTTTTTTCGGTGCAATGTAGCTGCATAGCTGGAAATTTGTGTTTCAGGTAACACCTAAAGAAAAAAAAAACAAAAAAACGTTACCCAGATAAATCAATGCTTCCAAGCATTAAAGACCTCCACAATGGATTTAGTCTCATCCCAATATTCAGAAGAAGTTCCTTAAGTTCAGTAAATGTTCATTCACCACAAGTTCTTCTCCACACAAACAGAATTTGGGGTCACACACCAATTTTCAGAGTTAAATCCAAAAGCAGTTTCACATTTAACTTTCACAAAACCATTAGCACCAACTTAATATACACACTCTCCTTCTTGCTATTCTGTATTTAAAAGGCACTTTTCAAAGTCTTTATCAAATTAACATGAATTGTTTAAGAGGTGTGGATAATCTAGAATGTGCATGGACAGCCTCAAGTCCCACCAAGCAACCACATCTGTTGATTTTGCACCCTTGGCACCTCAGCAAATTTTCAACAGCATGTAACGACTTACTCTGTGAAGAATTATTCATTCTTAATTTAAGTAAGAGATTAATCTCATATCAGTCATGAAATATGTTTATACATTATCCTGTATTTCATTGAGTAATTATCAATATGCAAGACATCTTAAAAAAATCATGGAATCATAGAATAGTTAGGGTTGGAAAGGACCTTAAGATCATCTAGTTCCACCCCCCCTGCTGTGGGCCGGGACACCTTACGCTATAGCATATCACCCAAGGCCTCGTCCAGCCTGGTCTTGAACACTGCCAGGAATGGAGCATTCACAACCTCCCTGGGCAACCTATTCCTGTACCTCACCACCCCAACAAGAATTTCCTTCTTATATCCAATCTAAACTTCCCCTGTTTAAGATTTAACCTGTTACCCGTTGTCCTATCAGTACAGTTCCTAATGAAGAGTCCCTTCTCAGCATCCCTATAGGCCCCCTTCAGATACTGGAAGGCTGCTATGAGGTCTCCAAGCAGCCTTCTCTTCTTCAGGCTGAACAGCCCCAACTTCCTCAGCCTGTCTTCATATGGGAGATGCTCCAGTCGCCTCATCATCCTCATGGCCCTTCTCTGGACTTGTTCCAACAGTTCCATGTCCTTTTTATGTTGAGGACACCAGAACTGCACACAATACTCCAGGTGAGGTCTCACAAGAGCAGAGTAGAGGGGCAGGATCACCTCCTTCGACCTCCTGGTCACACTCCTTTTGATGCAGCCCAGGATACGGTTGGCTTTCTGGGCTGCAAGTGCACACTGAAGCCGGCTCATGTTCATTTTCTCATCAACCAACTCCCCCAAGTCCTTCTCCTCAGGGCTGCTCTGAATCTCTTCTCTGCCCAACCTGTAGCTGTCCCTGGGATTGCTCCAACCCAGGCACAGGACCTTGCACTTGGCATGGTTAAACTTCATGAGGTTGGCATCAGCCCACCTCACAAGTGTGTCAAGGTCCCTCTGGATGGCATTCCTTCCCTCCAGGGTATCAACCGAACCACACAGCTTGGTGTCATCGGCAAACTTGCTGAGGGCGCACTCAATCCCACTGTCCATGTCAGCGATAAAGATGTTGAACAAGACCGGTCCCAACACCGATCCCTGAGGGACACCACTCGTTACTGGTCTCCAGCTGGACATTGAGCCATTGACCACAACTCTTTGCATGCAGCCATGCAGCCAGTTCTTTATCCACCGAGTGGTCCATCCATCAAATTGATGTCTCTCCAATTTAGAGACAAGGATGTCTTGTGGGACAGTGTCGAACGCTTTACACAAGTCCAGGTAGATGACATCAACTGCTCTACCCCTGTTCATCAGTTCTGTAGCCCCATCATAGAAGGCCACCAAATTGGTCAGGCAGGATTTCCCCTTAGTGAAGCCATGCTGGCTGTCACCAAGCACCTTGTTGATTTTCAGGTGCCTTAGCATGCCTTCCAGGAGAATCTGCTCCAAGATTTTGCCAAGCACAGAGGTGAGACTGACTGGTCTGTAATTCCCCAGGTCATCCATTTTCCCCTTCTTGAAAATGGGGGTTATATTTCCCTTTTTCCAGTCGTCGGGAACTTCACCTGACTGCCATGACTTCTCAAATATGATGGCCGGCGGCTTCGCAACTTTATTTGCCAGCTCCTTCAGGACCCGCGGATGGATCTCATCAGGTCCCATGGACTTGTGCATGTTCAGGTTCTTAAGATGGTCTCGAACCAGTTCCTCTCCTACAGTGGGCCTAAGGTCTTCATTCTCGCAGTCCCTGCATTTGCCTTCTGAGACTTGGGTGGTGTGGTCAGCTCATTTGCCAGGGAAGACTGAGACAAAGAACTCATTCAGAACCTCAGCCTTCTCCAAATCCTGTGTAGCCAGTTCTCCTGAGAGCTTCCTGAGGGGGCCTACATTCTCCCTAGTCTGTTTTTTATTTGCTATGTACTTGTGGAATCCCTTCCTGTTATCTTTAATACCTCTAGCTAAGTTTAATTCTAACGGGGCCTTAGAAAATACTTCACATTCTTCATGAAAACATAATTTTATGTAGACCATACAAAAAAGAAACAAAAACACAAAAACCCACAAACAAACAAAAAACCAAACCAAACAAAAAACCCAGCAGGGAAATATTTTTCTTTAATATTTTTTTTAAACTCCAAACATTTCTACTGTTTTTAGTTTTGGGTGTGGTGTTTTTTTTTTGGTTTGGTGGGCTTTTCTGGTTGGTTGATTGGGGTGTTTTTTAATGGAAAAGTTGCGCAATTAGAAATTCAGGCAAGATTATCCAGCTGGCAGTTAAATTCTATAGGCTTGATCTATACAGAAATATATGCTTTTAAAACAGCCACATAGTTACAGCAACATTCTGCTCTACAACAATAAAAATAAATTTGTTTATTATGTACCAGCTGACTAATTTACACAGACCCTTCCATGCTTTAAGCATTGTAAGTTGAAAGAGCAAGATACTTAAAGTGTTACTCAATGGATATTAAGAAAACAAAACAAAAAACAGTGTTTAGTGGCATAAAGTCAATGCTGTAACTATCATTCATCTCCGCTGACCTTGAATTCTGACAGCCATTCTTCCACAACACCTCGTTCTGATCCCAGCATTTTCTTACTACTTTTGCTTTTCTCTTACCTTTTGAACAGAAAAAAAAAGAAATTAAAGAGTTCTAGCAGCAAAACTTAGTTTTGTAAACTCCTACACCAATGAAAAGTTGTTAACATATTTCCAACAGAATTATATAACATTAAACAGGAAAAGTTGCATTTTGGACAACTGGTCCCATTTTCTAACAATGATTAAACTCAGAGTTTTAGTCAAAAGTATTGCGCATTAATGGGGGAGGAAGAAAAAGAAGGATTGAGTGCTTCAGGCCAAAATACACATTATTTAAGACAAACACATCATCCCATTCTTGCTTCCTTACCAAATATACTACAAAGAAAAGACAAAGTAAAGAGCATTATGGAACAAATCATGTGAGACATTATAATGACAATTCTAGATACAGACTGTAGTAAAGAATTTTCTTAAAACCAGTTATTAGAAATCCTAACAGCAGAATTTTACTCCTTAAACCTCATTCCTACAGAATTTGGAGCTTCCCATTAAACAGCAAGATTTAATTCTTCTAAAAGCATGCTGGAATTCTCAGAAACTAAAACACAGGAAACTTGCAAGGACAACTGCTGTTACTATTTTCTATTTCATACACAAGTCATTCTAACATCTTTCAATTTCCCATAGATTTAATTCTCAAGGCAATAGCAAGAATTTTACAATACAAGGCATCACCGGACACTTTTGCTTGATGTTTAAATAAGTCTAAACAACAACTGTCATTTTATCTCTCTGCTTGTTTTGAGAAAAGGTTGACAATGCCTGGAAGTCAGTAGGGTCCCAGAAAATTTTCATCTTAGGAAGTGAAATGAAGCTATAGCCTAAACCTAGAGACTAAAATATAATAGTGACCTGAAAAGGAATAAATTGAGGAGACAGTAAAATATAAGATCAGTTTGAAGCCATACTAGACATATGAAGTGGTGATTCTGACTTAAGGTTTCATCAAAAGTTTATTTTTGAGAGGACCTGAAGGTTAACAGCTGCCTGAACAGAAACAAGAAAGAGAAAATCCCTGAAGGGACACCGCATTTTAAGAGATACTATGGTATATCGCTGTTGGTGATATTGCTATATAACAATAATATGCCACAAAGCTGTCACACAGTCATGTATCTTCACTATATTTTTCCTAAAAATTACAAATATTCATCAGCTTCAAAGCCTGCTTCTTTTAATAAATATTTTTTCCTTCAATACAAATTTTTCTGACATTCCTAACCTGAGATAGGGAAAAGAAACACTTCCACAGCCATATAACAAGATGAAGACTGCTATAATCATGTTTAATTCCATAAACATTTGTTTATCAACTTCATACAAGTAATGTAAAGAACATATTAAGTGCTACTATTTGTAGAATTTATTGTAAAATTTATAGGAAAAAGGCAGGTAAACATGAAGTGAATTATTTACTTTCTACAGTTTTCTTTTAAATTGTATTCTGAAAATTTAGGCTCAAGCAAAAATTACTGGTTTGATATAAAAGTTACATCGTGGAAGTCCTATGATAAATGGCCTTTAAATAGCCAGACTACATGACTGGAATCGCTTGTTCTGGTCTCAGAACATACATGCTTTGATTTTTGAAAAGATTTGTATTTAAAAATAGAGAGGTATTCAGTAAATGGAAAGTGAAGTAAGATATAAAAAAATTATTAGAAAGCTGCAAGTTCAATGTTAACAACCTTGTATGAACAGGGCTACATGCAGCATCTCACATGGCCCTTGACAGCAAGTCATTCAGAGAACACAAACTCCTGTGGGTAAGGAACTGCTTCACATTACTAAAGCACGGTTAAATATCCTGAAAGATACCAAATTCAGAAAGAACATTAATTTAAATTCAAGTGACACTTGGGGGACTTACTGCAGCAGAAGTGCTGAGAAATCATTCAATAAAATAACACCACAAAACTAAGTAGATTTCTGCAAAGGTTTCCCAAGACATCCTTTTCAATAGATAGGGAAACAGATACGAGTCATCAAAATGAGGCATGGATTTAATTTAATTTAAACCACACAGGACATGGTACAGAAGAAGCTGAGATTTAGTTCATTTTGCTTGGGGGCAAAAAAAAAAAATTCTACAGAAAGTGCAACATTCAATTTTACCTCTTTTAAGAAGTCAGTTTTCTAAAGGAGGAAGAGGAGGAGGAATGCAGCAGTTTTTCAACCTGGGATACATTTGTCAAGTCTTCAAGTACTGCCTTGTTTTCTGAAAGGTAAAAAGAAACTCTGATGATCACAAATAAGGAGAAATATAGTAAAGCAACAATAATGCATATATTTTTTGATCTTAAAAACTGAAGTTCATCAAATTCATTAAAGCATATGCAGGTCCATCTGTAAGAAAGGAAGTTGCAGTGAAAAAGAAGAAAAAAAACACAAAACAAACAAACAACAACAAAAAAAAACCCACACAAACCACAACAAACCCACACAAAAAAACACAGACAATAAAACCACTCATCATTTCAGCAGAAAGGGGGAACTGCCCTCATCTAAAAATACAACTGTCACCTATGCGGAAAACCCATTTGAGGTGCACAGTACTACAAGCACACTAGAAAGGAAAACTGAAGCACTAGGTCTTAAGAAGAACAGTGCAAGAAAGATGAAAGAAAAGAGTAATATTTTTATAAAATGTGAGTTGAACCAATACCCTGACTTTGGAGAACAAATTCCTCTTAACTGGAATATATTGAAGACTATTCCTTACTATCATTTTCTTAATACCTATTCCTTACAAAACCAAAATTTCAATGTCATTGCAAAAATCATGTATTACACTAAAGAGTTCACCTTTCACTGAACAATTCCCTCATGCTGAGCATGAGGTAAACACCACACAAATGACCCCAATCTAGGTAAGTTAGAGGATTTCAGTATATGGAGACCTGTAATAGGAAACTGAAGTACATGAACAATTGGTGTATTCCATTCCATACAGCTTATTCAATTAATTACTTTTTTTAAATTACTAAAAGACTTCCCCTATTAACTAGAGGCAGGTTAACAGGAGGTACCATCCTTTTCAGGCTACACTGTGACTGTTTTTATCACAGGATGGTACACAACAAACCAATGTCCTCTATGAATTTTCAAAAATCAGCTATTGTTCTGGGATTTTGTGCTTGGTTGTTTTTTTTTTTTAATGCAATTCCTTGCAGAAATCTTAAATAACAGTTGTGAATTAATTAAATTCAAATTGTCATCTTCTTTCCCTGGCAATATTTGAGAGGTTTGAAAAAAAACACATACATTTCTACCCGATAGGCACACTATAGCTGATTACCTACAGATTTTTAAACATGCAGAGAAGACCTGAAAGACAAATACATATGTATCTATTTAACTGAATTATCAGTTGTTTCTTGTAATTATCAGGGACACATCTTCAAGACAGATTATCAGGTCCGTAAGAGTTGATTCAGGACTTCTAGAAACTTCCCAAGTTTTACAACAGGCTAGAAAAAACCTTTACATGCAGACATGATGCCTGTATACACCATTCTCTAGAAATGTCATGGGGTCTCATCTAGCTCTAAGTTATCACACTTGCTAACCAGAGGTTCAGTTGCACTTAACCTGCTAACCGTAGTGTCAAAACCAAAGATACAGATCCTGGAAGTTCACCAGGTAGGCCTCTCCACAGCTGCATTAAGTTAGACATCATTTTTTCTTTGATAGGAACTTGAGTTATTTTAGCCCCAAAATAAGAATCACAGTTATATACCAGCGAATCAGACATGGGAATTTCTACTTCTATACAAAAGGACTAAGCATAAGTAGAAGTGCACAGATCCAGTTGGAGAATCAGGCTGTAACAGTTCAAAATTTTTCATTAACTTGTCAGTTTGCTTGCAAACCAAATCCACAGGTTTTCTAGAACTGAATTTAAGAAGAAGATAATTAAAAAAAAACATTTTACATTGCATCACAACTGGGATGTGGGTCAAGCTATTTTATACATGGAGAACAGTAAATTACTGTCCTTAAATCAGAGGCAAACATCAGATGTAACTCACAGCCAAAATTTCCCCTGTGATTACTTCATCTTGGAAGATCCTATTCAAACCTGGAGGCAAGTAGCTGCTCTCCTCCAGCACTATATATCAACTTGAGAGATTACATCAAGTACGTATGAAATTGACTATTTCCTTGGAGAAACCTTCCAAGAGGGAATTAAGATTATGCTTAAAAACAAACTAACCAAAAATCAATGACAAAAAAATCCCATCAAAACACAAATCCCCCTTCTCTTTATGCTCCATGAACAACGGTACGTATGAAACTATAGCACAGCTCCAACAAAAGCAAAACATGTATTTGATAAATCTATACCAAATACTATTGCATATTTTACGTAGCAGCAAGTATTCTTTGCCCTATAGCATTACAATTCAGACTGCAAGGAAAACACTAAGCAGGCTAACTTGCAGAAATAAGTAAACACACAAGGCTATCAAGAAACATACGCATCAGGCCAGTAAAAATGCAGTAGTTTGGAGTAAGAGAATACTACAAAGTAAGTAAAATCAATGAATTAAATTAGCAATTCTCCTGAGTCAGGATTGAACTTGGTGTATCTAAAGAAATTACAAAACCAAGGAGTTGCCAGAATGATTCAAATGCTTTACTGCAAAATCTGTAGAGACCCCAATGTTCCTAATATGTTGTCAAAAATGTCAAGTATCGTAACAGCGTAACATCTAACCTACCTAAGAAATTAACTCCTCCTACAGAAGTCTACTAAGCCTTAGAAAAAGTCCACATACAGCTGTCTGTCAAACAATTCAACTCACATAAAGTTAAAAACTGAACCTGCGCTGCAATTTGGGTGCAGTCTGATATCATAGTTAAGCCCATCTAGTGGCTGGCAACCACGAAAAAGGAGAAGTTAACCCTCCCCAGTAATGCACATAATTCTCTCTCAATGTTTGTGCCATGCACTGACTTTCAAGTAAGCCCTGTTTGGGAACTTCTTCCAGTGTAAGTGAGATTCAGAACCAAAGCTATACCTGCTGCCTAGGAAATCAGCAACTTGAGAACAACTGCTGAAGCACAGAGCTCATTCTACACCCTTTAAGATCAATGCCAGAAACAAAACCCAATGCACAGTGTCTTCTTACATGCAATACAGTAAGATTTTAACAGTTCTACTGTGGAAAAGCAAAGAATTTTCAACGTTATATGTGATAATCTCCAAAGTATGCGAAGGATTAGAATACAGGGCAACTTCCACAGGAATCTGGTGCTTGTTCATCTCTGAAGGACACTGTATAGTGCTTTTTGTGTATTTGTTAGGAGAATGGAGAAAAGAGTTTTACACAATAGACATCTATTGAAGAAGTGTATTGGGCCACCCCTACTGTACAATTTACCCATTTTGAGTTAATGGCTCACTTCCACATGCAGCTTTGTGTGGCTGCTCCTATAAATACAGCCAGTTGTTCTGACGCTTATAGAATGCTTTTGATGAGGTGTACACTAAAGACCAATAATATGAACTATATTCCAGGAGGAAAAGCACCTTATCTATGTGTCAGTCTTGCACCACATTTATAGAAAAAAACATATATAAATACAGCCTATTCATTACTCCAACGCTGCATTTGCAGCCTTCTTGGAAGACTTCTGCAGATGTTAAAGCCTGCTTTGCTCATGTGGCTCAAAAAGGATACAGGCAGATAGTTCTGCTGTATCAATACAAATACAGTCCACACCTATTCCAGCTAGGATTACTCTACCAGTTCTGTTTCAGGACAAACCATCTCTCCCTTTCGTGTCATCTGCCTGGATATTAAAAACATTTGTAAGGACTTGCACAAACACTCACGATAGTCAGGTCATAGATTTACAGCACACTAACTGCACTGATCCCCCACATGAACATTTAACAAAGGCACGGTGAGCATCTTAGCACAGTGCCCAGTGGCTGTGCACACCCTCCAAGTACTGCCCCATTCTGCCCCAGCAGACTGTACTCTAGGATTCTCACATATGCATCTGTAAAGCACACCTTGTGCCTACATTCACCCCTGGTTTGCTGTGCTTTGAGGGGGGGGGGGGGGGGTAGGGGACGCAAAAAAAAAAAAAAAAAAATCAAGCACCATGTGTCTCTAAAATAAACTGGTTAGCTGCATTAAATCCTGTGCATATTTATTCAAAGTAGAAGCCACCTGAACTAAGAGTACTCTATTTCATTTCCATACTGTTCCTGTCTCTCCCAAAGCAAACAAAACACAGGGAATATAATATTTCTCATGTTGGTTTTTAAAAGCTTAGATTTTTTCCTACTATGGCTCAAAAATTCTTATAATATGTAGGACCCATAATATCTAAGCAGAAATTTAGTTATCAGAAACAGTAATAATTAAATATACTAAAAAATATTTTAGCTATGGACTGATAAAGATCCCTTAAACACTGAATGAGCAAACAAGTTCACATTCATTTTTCAGGTGGAAACACAGCCACTCAGTGTTAAAATCAAACATAAAATTCAATTACTGAAAAGCTTCCCCCAAAAAGCACTGAAAACTAAAATTTAAAAGTTTTTTCCTGAATTTATTTATTTGGTATAAAGTGGCAGAATGTAAGACATAAGGCTGTTAAATCATTGGACCCAGAATATCCACGCTCAAAATTAAAGCTACAATACTGTTCTCAAAGGAAGTCAGCCTTGCATTATGCATCTGCCAATTACAGCTGAAATCTAAACAGAATCTTACCAAGAAAAGCACTCCCCTAGCTCATGATATGCACACAAATCATAGAATCAATCAGTGAGGTTGGAAAAGGCAAGCATTGAGTCCAATAATTAACCTAACACTGCCAAGTCCACCATAAGCACATATCCCTAAGTGCTGCATCTACAGGTCTCTGAAATACTTTCAGGGTTGATGACTCAACCACTTCCCTGGGCAGCCTGTTCCAAAGCTTGACAACCCTTTTGGCAAAGAAATTTTTCATAATACCCAATCTGAACCTTCCCTGGAGCAACTGCAGGCCATTTCCTCTTGTGCTATCACTTGTTACTTGGGAGAAGAGACCAATATCCACCTTACTACAACCTCCTTTGAAGTAGTTGTAGGCAGTGGTAAGTTCTCCGCTGAGCCTTCTTTTCTCCAGACTAAACAACCCCAGTTCCTTCAGCCACTCCTCACAAGACCTTTGCTCTAGGCCCTTCGTCATCTTTGTTGCCCTTCTCTGGGCACGCCTGAGCATCTCAATGTCTC